GGTTTTGCTTTTGCTCTAAACCAGGCAGCGTAGTTGAATTACAAATGAGAGTATGCATAGCAAAAGGATGACCTGGAAGATTTTAGTCAGATGTTCTGGAAAGATATTCTTTCCCTCTATTAAGGAAGTATTTCTTTAAATTGGCAGACATTCACAATGTCCCAGTTGCCATTTTAGACTATTGAATAAAAGTAGTTTTGTATCACAAAATCTGAGCTGGATAATTAAAAATAGCTCAAAGCTTAATAATCACCAAAGGGTGCAGCACGTGGCTCTTGGATAGCACATTAGGAGTTCCAGATGTTTTGTGACTACAGTAAATTGGTCTTGCTACAGTCCAAGATGGTGGTAAGAAAAATGTTGCAAAGTTATGGATAACTTACTCAGCATTGCTGGGCTCTGGGTAAGCACATGGCTGAATATCTCCATCTTCTTTTGCTTTTGATGGAGGAAGAAGGATTCCTTAAAGTCATTTGTGTATTTAGATTCAGAATTAAGTTGCATTTAATGTTGAATGCAGAAAAACTTCATCTCAAATGAAGTGTAAAAGAAGCTGGTTTATTTTATTTGTATATGAAATTTGTAATGTATGAATCTCCATCCTTTCCCCACAAAACAAACTGCAAAGAAAAAATGAACTAATTTCATTTCCAGACCCCAGAAATGGCTGACTGTTGTGGAGGTTTTTTCTCCTCTACCTCAAAACCATTAAATTTTGGCTGTTGTCTAATGTAAATGTGTCTTCTAGCTTTGAACTGCTTTGCAAAGCTGGATTTTTTTTTTTTATTTTTTTTTTTGTAAATGGAACACAGTTCTGACTAATCACAGCTCGATTCTTGACTTGCCTTTTGTAATCTGGGCTGTCACAGGTACACTACAGTCAGTGCCTGATGTACTTCTTCATCAAGTCTTGGTTTCGTTGCAGTCATAGTCCAGTCTATAGTGTGGATATACTATCAGATTGCAGAGGTGTTGGCTGTATACAGAATTTAAGGTCTTGATATAGTAATCATGCCAGTACTCTGTTTCAGGCATTTATTAGGTTTGACCAAAATCTGAGCATTCTCCAGAGATAGTTTGCAGGAGCAAGTCTTTCTGCTTGTGTGATCAGTCTAGCAAAGTGCAAGATTGGAATTATTGCCTTTCAACAAACAACTGACAAATACGGGTTTTTTCAGAGTAGAATTAGAATGAGCTTTGTTAGAAAGATATAGATGATAAACTTTAGGGAATTTTGCTCTTTCAGCAAACAGTTTTGCACTGAAGAATTTAGTTCAAACATTCCAAATTAAGTATTTCTTTAGTCCCACATCTGTCTATTGGCCTCAAACTGTCATTGTATTTGGACTGGGAGAAATGGTACAATACAGCCAATGGTACAATATGGCTTTTACCATACTGAGGCAAAAACTGAATTATGTTATATTAGGTAGGAGAGGAGTTATTTAAATCCTATATGCAGGCTGCTGTTGACATACACAGTAGAAAGAATGGAATGGGTTGAATTTTCATTGAGAAGTTATAATCTGATTTACAAACCCTGCACTTGTTTGGACGTCAGATTAAGTACAAAACTACAATAATGATTTATATCCTGATTTGTATGTCAGAAGGAGTAAATACCAAGGAGTTAAATAATGATTTGTACTGTCTTGTTTATGAATATTGTATGTGCTGGTGACACTGACTAAAGAATAATATTAATGTGTATTTCCTGGGAACAGTAGTGACCATGTCCATTTCTCTTCATGGCTGTTTTGACAGTCTGGTAAATAGTGCTCAGTTTCAGTTTGTTTTTATTTTCTGCAATAGGAAGACTTAGAAGTTTTAAAGGACAAGTGTGCACTGTGTGGATTAGGTGGTTATATTTGCCTTGGAAGAGAGGCCATGCAAACAGTGCTTCTGTAGGTTTTAGAAGAATGAACAACATTTCTCCTCTGTGTTTATGGAAACTGAGGTTATTCAATAAGTCTGAAAGGAAGCACACACACACATTTATGCTAACTTTCCTCCATGATATAAGGTTTTAAGATGAAGGCAAATTCTCTCTCTTAAACCTGAACTTGACTTTCTCACGTAGATGTTCCATCTGTTCCTGTTGTAGAACAGACAGACTGTTGTGAATTTTGGGGGGTTTAGCTTTTGTTCCTTCTTTGTGCTTTCAAGCTTATTTTCTTCTAGTTTCTGTAAGTGCCAACAATGAAACAGTTTGTATGAAGGAAGAGCATTGATGACTTCTGTTTCTGGATGGATATCTCTGTTTACTCTAAACAGAGCCCAGGGTTGGGGTGGAACTTGCAGGAGGGGGAGAGCTGGTTCCATGGTGGCTCAGTGGAGTGAATGTTAACTCATTCAACACAGACTTCTAATGCAAATTGGAATGTTATGTTCTGACCAAAATATTTTTGATGAGGACTGTGTAGGAGAGTCAGAAATGGTGGTCAGGTATGTCAGGTGTTGGGTGTCATTTGTTCAGAAAAGTTGCAAGATCTTAAATTCTCTCTTTAAGGCTGCACACAAATCACACCTTGGTTATCAGTGTTGTTTCATTCAGGAGTGCTGTTTTCTTACTGGCTTCCTGAGGTTGCTAAGGCAAGGCCTCGGAGGAGGGGAGAGGAGGGCTGTTGGTACTTTTAGTTATTAAATCCCAGTAATGGCCTTGTTCATAACAACAGACTTATCTAGCAGTTTCCCAAAACAAATGTAATTCACAGATGTGTGGTAGCAGCTAGGACAAAATTGAGCCCATCTAATAATCAGTCTGTGCATTTCCAGTACTTTTTCTTGTTTATAGTTTAAACTGTTTCTATCTTCAGTGAAGAGGGGAAAGTAAAGATCTGCATTTTGATTCCAACTTCATTTGAGCAACTAATTTCTAATATCAGTAATCTCCCTCTTGTAATTTCTAAAGAGCCATTTGAAAGGGGACCATTTTAAAAGTAATTGGTACAAGTAACCCCATTGTTCTCTTCAGTATGTACTGTGATAGTGCAGGAATAATGGATGCTCTGCAGGGGAACCATAACACTTTCTGTTAAAAGCACTCCAGGGAAACTATCTCTTCCTGCAGCTGCCACAGCAGGGTATCATTTTTATTAGGGCATGGTATAAGTTTATCATTCGATTTAGTATGTTCCTTTAGCTGTTACAGTCCTTACAAAATGCAGTTTTTGGACCTCTGAGTGTGAGAAGTATTTCCAGGTTAAATGATACCATGCAGGAATACAAATGTATGTAATTGAGGAAAACTTAATGAAATGTTATTTTGTGCAGAAGGGTGTTTTTTTCAAGAGTTAATATTGTCCATCTGTTTTCTAGTTATGATGTTCTGATTTCAGTGCAAATGTATTCTTGTTGAGACCTTCTAAAACACAGAGAGAATTTTGCTTTTTTGTTCTTATGCTGAAGGGGAAAAATAGGTAGAGAAAAATTATGCTGGTGCAGTGTTCCAGCTTTGTTGCAAGACTTTTCTGGAACTTACTCCCAGAAGATGTAAACACCTGATCTTTGTCTTGATAGTTTAGAGACTGATATTTGGGTCTTGCAGTGAGTTTCTAGAAATACTGTCTTGTTTTGGTGGAACAGTAATGTTATTGGCTAGAAATGCCAGGAAACAGGATACCGAAATACTGAATGTAACTTTAACAGCAAAATAAGATTATCTGGACATGTTCCAGAGATTAAGGAGAGCCTTTTTAACATAGCGTTCTCAAGAAAACTGTTGTTCTGGTTCTCAGTGAAGCACTGAACTTAGCATGTTCTGTTGCTGCACTTGCGTATGGACTTGCATCTTCACCTGCTGCATGCAAATCTGTGCAATTGTGTTTTCTTGCTGTCTGGCTTCCTGTTTTTCCCTTATTGTCTGGATGTTCCTGTGTGACTTGTGCTTCTGCTTATGCTTATCCTTTCCCAAGACTGTTTTTCTGCCATCCCACGATAGTATTTTCCTTTCCTAGCAGTAGGGAGCATTTGCATCTTTCCTTATACTGCTGATAACCAAAAGCAGTACCATACTACCAGTTTTTGCAGTGCTTTTAGCTCCTTACGCAAAAGGTTTGGTTATGTTTTGGGAGCAATGTGCCTTTCTTTGTTCCTTCTCTGGCCAATTCCATTGTGCTGGGGACATCAGTATCCAGCCTTGAGGGACTTCATTCCCAGTTTGAGGCTGAGGCACTGGTGAGCAGCAGTGTGGTCAGCCCTTTAACCCAGGGCACCTTGGGTTTTGTTTTCTGTCTTCTCTGTAAAGGGAGCAGAGGTGCCAGCTGCCAGTCTGTCAGTGGGGGGCTGGGCTGTACAGTGGAAAGTCTAGTATGATTACACTGTAAACTTTTGATCATTGCTGTTTCGTTTACTATCAGTTGATTTCAAATTATGATGTTATTAAAGTGCCAGTAAATCAACTAGGGATGTGCAGCCTGTTTGTATGACCTGGCTCATACAGATGCTGGGTAACACAGAACTTTGGCCTGGCTGACATGAGAGAAAGTTGGTGAATGAGCCCAGGTGAATGGACTGTGCTTACTGCAAGTTGGTATAGGCAAAAATATGGATGTTTAATCAGCTGTTGGTAAAAATCACAGCATAAGGACTGGTACTTTGCTACTGTGCAAGGTGCAGAGTGCACATGAGTGGGCAAAGTGCAGAGATAGGCAGCTGCTCTGTGAAGAGTGTAGGGGTTTTAGTATTTGTTGAATTTGTTTAAGGGAAAGAAAATCATATGTCCGTATATACACAGGTTGGAATGGCTTGAACTGAACATTTGTTTCTTTTGTGTTCTGCAGACTTCTTGAAGCCAGCTCTAGCGAAGGGAAGGAGTTCCATCTGTGCCAGCCAGCCCCAGTCTCTAGTGCTGGTCCCACTGATGGCACATTGTACAAGCCTGTGAAACCTGCCAAGCTGGACGCCACAGCTTTGCACGACTGCACTTTGGCCGCCACTGTGCCTCCCTCGGAGCTGTCGAACCATGCAGTCCTAGCCTGTGACACAGGCATTCATGAGGAGCACTATGTAAGCGAAGGCGTGGAAGATGATGTGCCAGACTGCAGAGAGTACAGAGATGCCTGCACCATTACTGGTAAGCAGTCAAATCCTTTACCTTGGTAAAGCATGTGGAGGTGTAGAGTTAAGCTTCTGTTCTTAAGCTCATCGTGGGGTATCTGCTTCATGGACGGTTCTGCTGCTGTTCTGCACATTTTTATTGTTTAAGAAGTGATTTCACAGTCAGCAGGATTTTCAGTGAAAGCACTCTGTAATGTTTAAGGTCCTTGAAATAGGCCAATGACAGCTGTGAAACCAGGTTACTGTATTTATGTACTAGGGAAATTGAACCATTTGAAAGTTGGTTTGGAAAATAACTGTAGTCAGGGATGAGGAGAAGGGAACACTGCACCTTAAAGTTTATGGAGTGCTTGTCCTAATGTTCAGAATAATTTAGATTTCTATCTTCATATGCTAATTGCTTTCTCATGAAAAATGTGAGAAATAGGGATGGGAGAAAATAACATTTTTACTGTATATATTTTTGCTTTTCAAAGCCATTTCATTTTTTGACATTTGTTCTGGAACAGTAAAAGTTAATGTATATGGAATAGCTTCTTCTGCATGCTTTTATGAAAGGTTGAATACCTTATTATAGATGCATACAAATAAATGGAATATGTGTTGAAGTATGGTATTTTAGGTAGAATTGTAATCTTAGTGCTGTGGTCAGCTGACCCAATTTTTTTGTGTTTGAATAATCGCTGTAACTCAGTTTACTCATGGTTATGGCCATGAAATGACAGGCAACTTCCATTCCGAATGCATGGTATGTTGGCTGAGCTGTGAGGCTTCTTTTAGCCTAATGTGACCTTGTGAGTTCTAAGTCCTTTTGGGAATGTTTGAGAAGTCAGCTGAATTTTTTGGAAGGGAGAGATGAGATGTGCGAGAAAAACAGCAATAGGACTAAGGTCCTTCTAATTGGCAGCCAGATACTTTTATCCTGAGTTACTTTCAGCCCTTTCTAGAACTGTCTTTAAATCAAAGAACTAGCTATGTGACTGTCAGCAGCTGCTTTAGTAGCATGCCTTAGCTTAGCTTAGCCCAACAGCTGTTTAGTTACTAAGGGCTGATATTTTGAAAAAAAGAAAACAGAAGGGCAGAGGTGCTTTCAATCCACCCTGATTTCCTTGGGAAGGCAAGCAGCAGGGTTAACGCTGGAGTCACTTTGTCAGGTATGTGTCTACGTAAAACAAATGTTTCATTTAAACAAACTTACTTGTCATCCTTCCTTCCTTGTTTTCATGGATTTAGAGCTTCTTAACTGGTTAGTTCAGAAATGGTCATCCTTTTGACTTCCATGTAGGTATTTGCTTGTTAGATAGACTAGAAAGTACACATCACATAAATGCATTCCGGTGATATAACTGTTTTCCAGGCCTCTTGTAGAAGGATCTTGCAATCTGTTCTGCTTGCTGTGGTCTGTCTCCTCTTCAGCCCCTCTCCTCCCTCCCCTATTAACAGGAATTTAACTTTATTTTTCTGTTTCTGACTACAAGCCAGGACAACCAACTTCTTTAATGAAGCAAGATGCCTTTGTGATTATGGTTTCTTGAAAGGCAAGCCAACTCACTTTTTAACATTTAAAAATTTTTTATTAATTGGAAGCCAGTGCATGTTCTTGCTACTTCATATTCCTTCAAGTCTGATGTAGTTTCTGAATCTTTCTTCTTGCTTAGCTGTTAGCCAGGTATTGTTTACAGATTGGTCCTAAATTGCTTTCTTAAATTGATTTGCTATTCTGCGGTGTCAGATTTGTACTGTTAGTGACCTGAGGACAGCGTGATGTGACTTGCAGTAGAAATAGCAGTGGTTTTGTTGATTGTTTGGTTAGTTAGGGGATTTTTTTGGTGTTCATGGATTTTTGACTTTTAGCTTTTTGTTGTGTGTTTTAAAGGTGTCAGAGGGCATAGGCTGAAAGTCAAAAATTGGTTTCACATTCACTCTGTAATCTTTATCATTATTGTGTGCAGGTATGCAGTGTATACCCCCGAAACAATCTGAAAGGTAAATACTTGATTGAATTGTCAGAGACTTGTACATGAAGACTTTGTTTAGTTCTGATTAACAAGTTATCACTACTTCTTTTTTTAAATTGTTTAATGGGAAAAATGTTGCTCATATTAAGTCTGCGTATACTGTACTTTATTTCTGATGACAAAGCTTGGCTCATCCTAGAGTTCAAATTCAGCAATCAGGGTAATCTATATATTCTTTTAGTCTTAAATTAACACCTACAGCCTGTCTTACAAGTTATCTGCAAAAATTCTTGCAAATAAAGGCTTGAGCACAGTTAAGAAAATAATGAGAAACTGATGCACAGTGTGGTGTGGTGATGCTTTCTGGAATGCAGCAAGCTAATGATAATGGGAGCTATCTCTGATATAGCTAATAGTAAATTAAATGATGTGCACATTTTGCTTTTTAAGGTTTTAAGACCATTGAGTCTCAAAGAATTTTTAATGCTGCTTCCTTTTCTTTTTGTTATTGTTTTTGTTTCCTGTTGTGTTTGCTGGAGGTAGAGAGGCACTTTGGCATTCTCTTGTCAGCACCATTTTTCCTGCCTTGGACCCTAGAGCAGATTCAATGTAGCTGAGAGCTTTGCACATTCTGATTGTGCTAAACGTGTATTCTTGGATATAGGGTTGACTTAAACATTTCTTGTCCCCAAACCATCTCAGAATTGTGCTTGAACAGATTTCTGTGGGAGTGTAACTAGAGGTATTTTAGGCAACTGGTCTGGATAGAATCCCTGCTGTGCTTTTGTGTCAGAGAGAAGATGAGGGTTAGTTAGATCATAGCTCTGATCGGTCCTATTGTGTGGCCTAAAAACAATTCTGTTGGTATAAGGGAGGCAATAAGCACCGTAGGGCTGGGCCCAGATGACAAGAACAGTGTGGTGAAAAATTTTCTCGAGCCTGTGTCTGAGAGAGGGACAGAACCCTAAAAGCACCTTTCCCACTGAATTTGATACTAAAGCACCATCCAAAGCTCATAGGTTCTGCAAGTGAAGCTTTATGCAGGTAAATGCATTTGAATCTGTGCTGACTTCAGCACGGAGATGAAATAGGATAGTTGATCCGTTGAAAAAAATTGTGAATGTTTTAAGGGTTAGGAAAAAAGTGCTGGTGCAGCACATACTTTCTGAACACTTAACCTGAAAACTGACTCAGTAGTGGTTGTAATAGATTTTTTGCTTTGTAGTATTTCATTCTAGGTTTTGTTAGCAAGATTTAGGAGAAAAGATCAATGTAGTGACTTCAAGTTTTCTATTGCTATTGATTGTGGAGCTCCTGCAGGTAAATGGGCAGAAGACTCAAGCCCTGAGGTTGGTGGACAGTGGGGCAGCACTGTATGGAAGTGGCATGGTGCTGCTACATGTGGGAGGCACCTATTGTTTCCTAGTTGTTTTTCTTTCCTTTTAACTTTTCTTTTTCTTGCTGCTCTCATTCATCCAAGAGTATAGAGATAGGAATACGGATGTAGCACCATCTAGTCCCAATTTTATGAATTACAAAACTCTCTTAGTCTGATTGCCTTTTTCTTATCTATTAGCTGCTGTCAGACAAATCCTCTCCTCCTGGAAATGGGGAGTACAGAGGGGATGGAAGTCTGAAATGTCACTGGATATTACTCTTGTGATAGCTGTCTGACTGCCAGAATATTTTTGTGAGGCTTTTTGGTTGTGGGTTTTTTTTTCTCTTAAAATATGCTTAACACAGTATCCTTAGACAACTTCAGTAAGTTAACTTTGTTTTTGAATGTCTGAATACTCACTATTTGCACTGATTTTGGTATGGTGTACTTTGTAATTCAAGGGCTAACTACTTAATATGCCATGTAGGTTTCTTTCATCCTTCTCTGAAAAGGGGGAGAATGAATTGACTGTAATTTAAATTGCCCAGCTCCTTCATTAGTTTGCATGATTCATTTGTTCATTGTACTAATTACTCTTACTAAATGCATGTAGGAGTCTGTTTTCTAGCTGTTCAGGACAGTTTCCTGAGGGCTAGTGAATTATTGGGAAATGCTCCGTGGTAATAACCTGTTCTGTGTCTTACTTTGTTTGCAATTAACACAAGTAGATTTTTTCTTTTCCCTAAAAACAGAGTTATATTACTGGAGGGGTCAAACCACTAAATGTCTTGTTTTCTTAGCAGGAGGGTGTCAGTGAGAAGAGTTGGTGTTGTTTGACCTTCCTTGTAGGTTGTGTAATTTGCACGTTTCTGCAGTGACTGTAGTGGAAGGAGTCATAACATCCAGAGAAACCAACTTTCTCTTGCTGTCAAGCCTAATTCACACAATCTTCTAGCAATGTTTGGGTGCAGAAAGTTTTTTCTGAGTTTGCATCCTGTCTCTATCCTTATTCAGGCTTTAAATATGTTCCCATATGAAACGGAGATTCCATTCTCCTCTGCCAAATTACCATTCTTCATGGCAACATCAGCCAATTTTGATAACTGACTTATCCTACAGATAATGGTGTCATTCTGACCATTTCTTTATATAATCACTTTATTTTAAAATACGTGCTTAGGGCTCACAGAATTTCCATTCCATTGTCTGTATGTCCCCCCTAAGGTGCACGTTTTTGTGTTGAAAAGCTGAATTTCTGTTCCTTCCATTTCAAGTGTGATATAGCTTGATTACTCAGAATTAACTCCATAGGGATTTAGGTATTACAGGTTGTTGTGAGATTGCTTTACTGTTGTTATGAGATGATGGAGAAAATGCTGTACCTGTGGCTGTCCTGTTGAGGTGTGTGTGTTACCACCAGAAACCATGTACTTACTATTCTGAGACTGTTCAATAGGGTGCTCTGGTTGGTTTTGTTACCTGTTACAGGCCTGCTGGTTGACTTTTAAGCTTTAAATGGTTAAAAAAAGTATTGATAGAATATTAACAGTTTTTAATTGCTTCCCATTATTTGAATCTCTGAGTTCTGTTAAGGTTACCTTTCTCTTTTAGTGGAGCTTAACTTGCTCTAGCATTTACTTCTTTTTCTGTTCCTGGTTTGGGGTGGGACTTTCATGTTTTTCTCAGTTTTGTCAATATGAGAGAAGAGCTGTAAAATACTGCTTGGTGGAGCTGGAACTCGAGCAAAGAGCATAATAAATGGTCTTCTGTGTTGGACCAGCTGGCTCAGGACTGTGTTTCTGACTCTCAGATACTGGATATGGAGATCACATACTCAGCCACCCTCAGTAGTCTACTCTCAGTATAAGTACTCCCATCATGCAGAACTATTTAGTGTTGGAACCTGTCCATAGCTTTTTCTTATCTGGATCTGCTGTTTGTTTTACTCTGGAAGTTCATGGTTGCTACTCTTGTGTGCAGTGACACCAATCTTGCGGTGTCTGTCAATATTTGTCCTAGTTATGTAGGATTTTGGTGAATATCAGTTCTTCTTTCCCCTTATGATGTTATCTTTATTATTTTGAAAAACCTTCATAGTTTTTACATCCCTGCCTACTCTTCTCCCAGCTGTCTTAGTCTCTCCTTTAAATAAAGCTATGAGAATGTTGATCCTCTCCTCAGCCCATTTACTTTATTGTAAGTTATTGTCACCATTCTCATCCTGTAAGCTTGATCTAGTTTTGGCCTCTTGTCTCTCTTTCCTGAGAGTTCTGTAAGCAGTGATTGCTAAATTCTGAACAATCTTCCTTTCTCTAAAGCATTCTGAAAATGCCAGTCCTGTTAACATGAGATAGCTCCTTTGGCATGACTGGAACAATTTTATGAGTCTGACTGTATTTCTGTGTAGCATATTCTGACAAAATTATCTTATTCTCTGTGCCTGCTGCATCTTTGCCTTTGTTTTGAATTTTCTGTCTGGCTTTTGGTGTGTTCTCAGTCAACTTAATGCAGATTCTCCTCCCTTGCGTCCTCCCCACAGTTGCTTTCCAGCTCTTACCCATTTCAAGTAACCTGGTGTTTTTTTTCTGATTCCTCACCTGTGTCGGGTTGTTATGCTATGTTTTAATCTGTATCTTCGACATATATTTTTATTTTATCAAGGATTATCTTTTTGTGGTTTGATGACATTTGGTTGGTTGGTTTTTCCTTAAGCAGAATTCTGCTGTGCTTCCTATCTAGCCCTCTTATTTATTTATGCTTCCTAATATGGTCCATGTTTTTTAGTGTGAACTGTCAATTCTGAAGTCACTATGAAAGCAACTGTTGGAATTACAAGTCCAGTGTGAAATTTTTAAAGGTATTCTTGTTAGATTTTCCTTGTTTTGGGAAGCAATTATCATTCCTAAATATGTACTTTATTCAAAGTAGGGGTGCATGAAAGCAGTAAGTGTTCATCAGTGTTCTGGGTTTGTTCTTTGGAGAAAGTACTGAAGGCCAGTGCCTAGTAGATTTTTTGGGAATTTTTTTTTTGGCTTTCATTTTTTGTTTTCCTGTTGTAGTGCAATGAATAGTGCAGGAAGACTAAATAGCTACATTTGATTATTGGCACATTTAAATATGTGAAAAAAGCTTCCATTCCATAATTTAGTTCCATAACACATGAAGTTCAGCTTTACCTTTCTCCCTCAATGTATGTGTGTGTCCATCATTAAGCAACACATTTTTCACTTAAAGTAAGCATTTGTAAAGAGCAAGCTACATAAGATTTAATTCTTATGTTTTGCTTGTGATTCTGTGCAAGCTTTGTTGACAGACATTTTTTAGTGGTTGGCACATTTTATAGCTGGGCTGAACAACAAGGAAAAGCAGGACAATTGCTTTTCAGGGTTGTGTACTCAGTGATTTATCAATGGGTTTTTAAGACATTCACAGTATCTCTTGGCAGCTGGAAGATCCTAATGGTTAATGAATGTGTTAATTCTTACTGCTGCTGAGCAGTGCATTGCCAGCATGCCTTTGGTATATGAATAGCTTTTTTTCTTACTCTAAAGGAATAGCCATGGTGGCAAAGTTTCCTTTTATTTTCTGTTTCCTGTGAAAATCATTACTATAGGTGCATTTATCTACAGGGAGAAACATTTCCATGCTTTCATTTAAAGGAAAGTTCATTTAAATTTATGGCACAGTGTGGGGTCCTAATAGTTTAATGTACCAAGTCACCAAATCTGTCTCAGGTTTTATACCTAGCAGGAATTCAACCTGGTAAGCAATGGCATTCCTCACATTGGAACTGTTCTTTCCACGGGTTTCATCTTCATTAGCTTTGACATTCTCAACTTTATCCTAGTCTTTATCAGGTGTGTTTGGCCAGGCCAAAAAGAGGTTAGCATGGAATCTTTTGTTTTCCTGTAGAAGCTGGGATTTTTTGTGGGTTTTTTTCCATGTTCAGAGGCAGAAGAACCACTGGTTACACAATTTTGGTTAAAGGTGTGGCAGGACTTGAAATTTCAAATCATGTCATGCCATAACAGTCAAGTTACAGAAGCTGCAATGGTTGTTTGTTTGAGGAGTCTGAGTTCTAGAGGTATGAGACAGCTTTCATGTTGAAGGGCTTTTTTTACAGATGCTTGGTTTTGCAGCCTGCTGTGAGACTTCAGATGTATAAGGATGCTAAGGCTATCTTTCCCTTTGGACAAGTCAGTGAATTGGATTTTCTTTTTTTTACCCTTTGCCTGAGAAGCTAACCACTTGCTTTACATTAAAACACATGTCCTGAGTTCAGTTATATTATTTGAAAGACTTCAGTGCAGTTTCAGTACAGTTAGCCACATTCTGGGCAGCCTTGAACTGACATTGAATAAGAATATGGTAAGTCCTGGGATTTTCCCTATTGCTCTGTATATACGCATGTAATTGTTAAATAATGCTCAAGAAATACTTCTAATTATAGAATTCAGTCAATACTTAATGACTGTGTCTACATGGGCCTGTGGAACTCAAGTAATGGATGACTACAGGCCATGTTTTCTTCTTCAATAGCATAGGTAGCAGCCTAATTGTGTGGTAGAACTTTCTTCCCTCTGCTTTTCATTTTTCTGTGGATCTGTTGTAATGATAATGACAAGCTCATTCCATCACTGTCTAAATGGACAGGAAGCATGGGGAAGATGAGGCTATTGGGCTGGTCCAAGCAGCCAGGAAATATCTGCTGGAAAAACATTTAGAGAAAGACTATCCTTCGTTCTTCCATCATTGGAATATGGTTAGGTTTGTGGGTCTTCTGAAAAAGAAGAATGCTAATGTAGTCATGGCCTCCTGAGTGGTTGTTTATCTAGATTAGGTGACTAGTCTCAATGTTTGCATGGGGCAAAACCAGCAGTCAAAATGTTATAGTATCTGGCATGGAATAGCCTCAACTTGATGAACTTCGATTTCTTGTGTTACGTGTGGCTGGACTTTAGCCTCCATGCTTGTAGACCTTTTCTGCAGAAAGTCTTTAACTGATATGGAGCCAGCACTGGAAGTGACCCTTTGCACATATTGTGTGCTTTTTATTTTTTGGAATTGTTATTTATTGCCTGTTCATTCTCAAAGATTTCTTTAAAACAGAATTAAAAAAAAAAAAACCAACTCTGAGAGAGCTAAGTGTCAAGGGTGAGTGTAATATGTCTGTGAAAAATAGGACAGGACTGAAAACCAAAGAGAGGAGTATGTTGTCCCATGAAGTAATGTAGTAGATTCCTTTATTCTTCCAGCTTTCTTCAGAGAGTTTCCTTGTTTCTCTTGTCTTTTTGTTATTGTGCTTGTATCTACTTCTCTTTCCTCAGCTGCCTTAAAAGGTTGTGACAAGTTACGATGTTTTAGTTCTTTTGTGAGAAATGAAAGATTTGCCTGAGAATGCTACTGAGGCATATCTTTGTTTGCTGTTAGATTTTTTTTTTCCTCTTTTGTTTGTTTTGCTTTGTTTGTGTTTCAGAAGGAGAAGATCTTTAGACTGCCCCTCTCTGGCTGTGGGCTGAGCACTAGCTGCCTGGGGTTTGATGCAGTGGAGTTTCTTGGAAGGTGCTCAGGGTGGGCATGTGATACAACCTGATGACCAAAGCTTGTGTTTTGAAGGTTGCCAAGCAGCCCAGCACTTCCCTAGGGTCACACCCAGAGTGGAGTTGTTTTGCTGCACACACGGCTTCTGTTCAGCAACTGTTTCCCTTTGCTCAGAGGAAACACTTCTGAATAGCACAGCCACTTTGTGCTGTTTGCAAGGTGTTGGCTTCCATGAGGACTGCAACTTAGGGGAACTGTGCTCTGTGAATGATACTGGGTAGTTTTCTTGTGGTCTTTCTTGTCATGGCTTGTGTGTGCTGGCACGCCCCTTCTTGAACAGAGCTCTGACCCTAGCGTGGTTCCTGGCAGGGTTGTGTTTATGAGCAATTGCTTTTTCCACTTACAGCAGTGGGCTGAAAGAGGAAAACTGGCTGGGAAAAAGCCCTGTGGGATTTGGGGGTTAGGGTACTAAGGCAGTTCTGCCGGCAGGTGGCAGTTTGTACTGCCGGCAGGTTCCGTGGAGACCTGGTAGTCCTTTTAACCTTGGGAGGGCAGCTCTGCTCACAAGCAAATCGGTGAAACCATAATGATCAGGGATGGTTTGAACCAGAATGCAGACAGGCACAAACTGTATATTTATGTTCTTTGTGAGGACTGTACTGATAAGCTGTTTGCATTGTGTTTGTAGAGGTTCCTGCAGATACCAGGCTCTGAGATTTGTATCATTCATTTTCTCTGCGTGTTTTCTGTGTGTTTTGGGGTGTTATTGTTGGTCGCCACACTCCCCACACCCTTGTCTCTTCTCATTGTTCTAGGTTCATTCTCTGAATTTATGACTAGTTCTAATGTGGAGCTCATTCTGAAATTAAGTGCTCTTTCTTTGTCAGTCAAGCTAGGTTTTTCTTTCCTACAGTAAGATGCATCTATAACCATAAACAGATGAAACCCAAAAGCCTGGTAGGGAATTGAATTTGACAGATGAGATGCTTTTAGGTGACCATGTTAATAGGAATGAGATTTTCAAAGTTGTCTAACTGTGTTCATGCTGAACTTAGTTGGAGTTGAAGTTAGTTTGACTGAGGCTTAATTGCTTGTTTATGAAATGCTGGCATAGTTCCACCCATCCAAGTAACATTGACAGCTAAGTATGTATGTAACTCTTTACGGGAAGTGACCTAATGCATTGCCTTGCTCTGTGAGTGCAGTATGGAAAGGACAGTGGGTGACCACCACACACAATGCCTTGTGATCTCTCTGTTATGTGCAGAGGGGGGAAGGCGTTCCCTGAGGAGCTGTACTGTCTCTCTACAGTCAGCTCCCTTTGTTTTAGACTTCTCACTCCATTTTCTCTCTGATCAACTCCTTGTTCAATTGTCAGCAAAGATGTCAGTGTGCATCTCAAGATAACCAAGTGATCTCTTATTCTCACATGCACGTAGTTGTCCTGCAAATTGTTTCTTTCTCTGCATGTGAAAAATTTAGAAAAAAAAGAAAAGAAAAAGTGGGGGAAGGAAGAAGCCATCCTCCCACCCTCACGTCAGTCTCCCCAGTGAGGAGTTAGTTTACTATATTAAGAGCATTTTGCATGGATAGAGATGTGCCTAGAAGAAAGGGAACTGATGAAATAGTTAAAGGTATCTAGATCAGCAAGCATAATAAAAATTCCTTTAAGGAAATATAAGCAAGCTGAAATAACCAGTGAAACTTGAGTGGCTGTCTTAAGTTGAGAGGCATGGGGTAGATAGGTTTAATATGTCCAAAAAGGAAGAAACACACCAGCCAATCAAATGCCAATATATTAAAAGATCCGAAACAAGCTAGTAGATAATCCATTAACAACCACCCAAGGGATACTGAAGTGGGAAAAAATATGCAGAAAAGAGCTCAGCTGCAGTGTTCTGCATCTTCTTTATGGAAAGAGAAGATTAGAAATTGTAACAAGAAATTAACCAGAACAAAAGTCTTTAAAAACATTTGTTTTAATCTCATTTAGAAAACAGAAAGCATGAGGAGGAATGTTGTCAAAAGTTGCTGCAAAGCAGACTGAGCACCTTTTTCATTTCCTGAGGAACAGGACATGGAGAAATACATATATGCAACAAAACAAGTGAGGTGGGATGTTCATGCATTTAAGCTAAGAAGAAACTAAAGCAGTAGAACATGTAGAACACCCTCTTTCAAAAAGAGAGTGAAATTTATTAACTTTTTAATATTTAATTATTTCTATGAAGGACTGAAAGCTATAGAGTTGCAAGAGCATAAGCAGAACCTGGAATGATCAATGCTTTACTAAGAATCATGAGTTCATAATTTATTAACTATTTAGGTTGGTTTTGATCTGCTTGTAGAAATTTGTTTGCCAAATGTGTTTTCCGGAAAACTGAAAGTTGAAAATTGCTTAGATTACAAACACCAGAACCCGTAACAGCAACTCGAAAGGATATAGTTTGGCTACATTTTATTCTATCATGTTAAAATTAATTACAAGGTAATTTTTTTAAGTGTAAAGTGTTACATTTTTCTCAATAAAATGAAGGTACCATCTAGGGGAAGAGGAAGCACTTTTATATGTGTTGGAAATCAGTTAACCTAATCATAAATTGCTATCACAGATGATGTCTTGGGTGTTCATAGTAGAGAAGTTACTTAATTGTTTATCTTTGCAATTCTAATCAGAAATATTAAAAAACCCCAACTCTGGAAACAATCAGAGTCTTATAAAAATATACCTGGTGTTTGAGGATGAGGGATAGTGTTAGTCTGCATATCTTCTCATAACAAATGTGTGCATCTCAGAAAAGGAAGGGCAGGAAAAGTGAAGGGGGAGAGATTGTGTACTGTAGCACTGAGAATATCACCATGATTTAAGGGGTGAACTAATGTTTAGTCATGAACAAGTGTAATTATGACGTACTGTTTTTCTGAACAGGTAGTTACATCCGAGCCTGTTCGTATTTCCTCCTGGTATGCAGATTTTAAAATTGCAGTAGAAGTTAATGACAATAGCATCATAATAGCATCATAAGAAGTTGCCTTTCCAATTACTTATTAATATCTTTTCCAGTTTTTAGGCCTTTTGAATTGCTTAGAAACACTCAGGTATTATGATATGGTAGAGTAGAAACATTTTCTTGGTTGTCTTGACTTCCACGATAATTCTTATTGCTTTTCTGCCTCGCTTTCACATTTTAGTGGATTTCTTTTCTACAATAAAACTGTATGGATTTTTTTTTCTGTGTATGCATGGATGGGGTTTTTTTTCTCTCCTCACATTTTATTGGTCGCTTCCTTTGCATTCATTTTTCACTAGTTTTTGGGATAAAACAAGCCAGTTTACTTATCTGTACAGCTGAAACGTTCTCATCTCATCTATAAAGTCTGTTTCTTTTGGAATCCTAATTAAAAAGAGGAGGACACTAAAGGTTTGAATTTCTCAAAGTTTTTATTTCTTTATTCCCAAGACCATCAACTTGGGCTGTGTAGATCCTTGCATTTTTCTGAAGAGAAAATCTAACATTGCGGCCAGAAAAATTCACCCAAAACAACCCCAGTGAAAATAAAATCAACTCCATATTCTTGAGATTGACAGCAGTTAGGTAATCTAAAGATAGATGTATAAAAAAAACCCTATTTTATATGTCCATGTAGACAGAAAGATTTTTGAATGTATAGTGGATGTCAGCAGGTCTTTTTTAGAAGATCAGCTGTCTTTTCTGCACTCAGATGGTTTCAGGCACTGAGATGATGCTGTCAGCCATTAAAAAGATAGCCAGGGAAAAAGAAGTTTGTAGTTACAGGCTGGTTCTCGTTTTTCAAAGCATGGGGAGCATGTGTAAGTCTCTGTGTAAGTCAGTAGTCCCTCTGAGAAGGTTGCAAGGACCTCTTAAAATGATGTGTGCAGGCTGATTCTTGCATTGCACAGAGCTCTATAAAAACAGATGCACACGTGGGCATCTAACTGCAGGGAGGCTTGGAAGACACACATATGTACAACAGTTAACAGAAGAGTGTGGATGATGGCAGAGTAGAATCATTTTTAATAGGTAAGCAGACTCCTTGAACCATAAAGTACAGCACAACTTTCCCAAGTGGATTAGAGTTCTAGTCATCAGTGTTTTGTAAAGTATGCAGGCAGGAGATTGACAGTATGAGTTCATCTTGGTATTCTCTGTCCTGTTGTCTGATAGAATAGTAATGTTCTTGCATTTTTTAGTGCTTGGGATGCTTTTGACAATGTAATTTCCTGGCTTAGAAAGGTAAAAAAAATGTAATTTATGATGTATAGAGAAGCATGTGTTACTTCCCCATTCTCTCCTTCCTACTCTCTCCTTTGACAGAGGTGAGTTCCACTAAGTTACAGTGGAATTGCTGGTCTACCTCAGTGCAACAGCAATAAGCTTCTCTTACAAAAATTACTCCCTTTGTCAGGAAGCAGCAAGAGCAGGACTGCCTTATAGGCGGCTGACAGGATGGGAAGGGCACAATCCTTGTTGGCACAGCCCAGTTTCTTTGTTCAGAAACAGAGCAAAGGTGCTGGCAGCAAGTTCAAATTGACTCTCCAGGGGTCGATCATCAGACAAGTGCCAGCAATCCAGGAAACCTGGACAATGAGTCAGTGTCAGCAGGGAGCAGAGCTGGGCACAGGCCTGCTTACAGCCCTGCATGAGGCTGGACCAGGGGTGTACATGGGGTTTCTGGCAGAGTGTGCTGGCTGGGGACTGTGATGTGTCTGGTCATGGCAGTGTAAAGGCACATGGGAGCACTCAGGGACTTGGCAGTTTTTCCTGTTTGCTCTGGAGTGAGTCTCAGCAAGAATTGCAAGAGCTATGACACTGGTTAAAGGGGGAGCTCTGGTTCGTTGCTTTTCCAAAAAAGGCTTAGATAGCTCTTCCTTACTTTGTGTGTGGGAGTAGGAGTTGTGCTGGACGATGGTGTTTTCTCTTTGTACTGGTGTGGGAATAGAAAGTGTGCAGATTGGTGCGCTAAGTATTTACTGAAAACATACCATGGGTTGCTCAGTTTCTTAATAAATGTTTAGCATGACATTGTATTTAATTGTGATAGTTAAACATATATTTAGAACTATTGTGACTGTTTTGGGTATTGACACACTCTTAAAATTCTTGATTATAATATAGTATAGATTAGACGGTACCTCAGGAGGTAATCTGTTCTGACTTCTACTAAAAGCAGGTCTCTTAGAATAAGTGCTCATGGCGTTGTTTACTTGACTTCTAGACTTCCTGTGCCCCTGTTCCACTGTCCTCATGGTAAAAAAGTTTCTACCTTGAATTGGGTTTTTTTTGTGTTAAACCTTCTCAGCTACCTCTTGTCCTAAATTTAAAGCTCTAATTTTATTTGTAACATTTTTGCAGTTTTTGTTGGCTGTCGGCATCCATTTTCAGAACTGTGTGCAAACTTGATATATTTGTGAGCTTGAGGGGCCACAGCACAGAATGCAAGTCAAGATAGTGTCAAAAGGTGCCCTGGAAGTTCCTGTAATCATCTTTACCAGTATGTCTTAGGTGTGAACTGTGACACTGTTTGCTATTGCAATCCTGGATTTCTTGAGAAAAATCTGCCAGCAGCAAAGGCAAAAAAAATGCAGTGGTACTAAATTGTAGTCCAAGACCAATTTAAGGAGATATGTAAGGCTTGCAAGCTAAAAATTATCTGTGAAGTAGAACATAAAAAATGCACATTCATCTGTGCACTAATCCTTTCTTTGTACTCTGGTTGTAATTGGCTTTCTATTCCCCACCCTAGCCCACTTATTTTTCAATAAATATCTCTGCTTCTAGAGGTCAGGCTTTTCATCACTAGGAGAGCATGCCCTTGTATTACTAGTAAATACAAGATTTTGGGATAATTTATGTCAGGCATATCTTCTAAACTTATTTGTATTGAGCTGTTCTTTACATGCAGCAAAATCTTGTTGATATCAAAGCAAACCGAAGTCTTTGAAAGCTTGTATGTATAGTACTCAAGGTAACTAATAGAGATTGTTCCCTTTCCCTTAACAGATGTGTGCAATAGTACCAATCTTCCTGAAGTTGAAATCATCAGTCTCCTGGAAGAGCAGCTGCCTCATTATAAGCTAAGAGCAGATACAATCTACGGTTATGACCACGACGACTGGCTTCACACACCTCTCATTTCCCCTGATGCGAATATTGACTTAACAACTGAGCAAATAGAAGAGACCTTGAAATACTTCCGTAAGTCAAAAATTCATAAATTGTACTGAGAAACAAATAAAATAGTGCTATTTTTGTTACCTTCTTTGAAGTACCTCTGCAATTCTTTGAAAGCTGTGGAGAGCAAGATAACTGTGATTTACTGCTCTGTCTCCAAGATGGTTGTAGATAGAAAACAAAGGGAACATTTAATCAAGAACAGCTGTTGCATTTGTGATATGTGCATGCACCTTTCCACATTATCAAATACTGGAGAAACTGAAATACTTCCTTTTGCTTGTGATCTCTCAGACTGAAGTTTCTGTATATATGCAGCTTAGAAAGCTTAGACCTCTTTCCATATCCACTTTTTTGAATGTGTTCTCTGACACATTGCACTATTGTTTGGTGGTACTATGTGCCAGCATCACAGAATTACATTAAATAATTTTGTTACATCTTAAGCTTCTAGAAAAGCCTTGTGAAGAACCAAACTTACTATTTGGTTGAGATGGTTTGTCTCTTCATTCTTTCTTCTGTTCATATTCATACTATCAGACAAAAAAAATATTTGCACCTAGAGGGAACATGAGTAGAGTTGTGACCTTTGTGGTTATTCTCTCCTTTGTTAGAGTCTGTAGATACTTCGTCATAGTGAATGGATTCATGTCTCTCTGGTTTCTTCCATTGTGGGTATTGACTTAGGTGTGAAATTAGAGAAGACTATGATTCATCTCAATAGCAGTGGGTTTACATGGGTTATAGTAGCAGGTAGATTTAGGTAGACTTACTGAGGCACTGTAGAGCTTCAGAAGAGATGAGTTACAGGGCTCAGCACAAATCTGTGCAAAGATGGCTTCATTGAATTTTGAAGCACCTGAACAATCACTTTGTAAGGAGCATAGAAAGAAGAGCATGAGTAATATGAAGAAATGAGTTTCTGATGTTCATGCTTCAATGAAGGGCATGAAGTATTTTAGTAAATAACTTGCATACACTCTCCACCTACCCCCAGTCACACAGTGGTAAGGGTGAAGCTGAAGCTGATCTGTGGAATCAAGTAAAGGACTTGGGGTGTTGGCTGATAGCTCAGCCTGATCCAGAAGTGTGCACTTGTAGCCAAGAATGCCAAGTGTGCTGCATCTAAAGAAATATAGTCAGCAGGTCCAGGGAGGTCAAGGTCAAGGGAGGTGATTCTCCCCACCTGCTCTATCCTTGTGAGACTCCCATCTGGAGTATGTGTCCATCTCTGGGACCTCCAACTTTAAAAAGGATGTGAGCCTGTTGGAGCAAGTTCAGAGGGATGCAAAGATGATCAGAGGGCTGGAGCAACTCTGCTGTGGACAGGCCAACAGAGTTGGAGTTCTTCAGCTTGGAGAAGAGGAGGCTTTGGGGAGACTTCAGAGCACCTTTCAGTACCTAAAGGGGGATACAGGAAAGCAAGAGAGGGACTTTTAAGCAAGTCCTGTAGTGACAGGACAAGGGATAATGACTTTAAATTATAGAGGGTCAGTTCAGGTTAGTTATATAGAAAAAATTATTTACTGTAAGGGTGGTGAGGCACTGGAGCAGCTTGCCCAAACAGGTTGTGGATGTCCCATCCCTAGAAATTATCAAGGTGGGGTTGAATGAGACTCTGAGCAACCTAGTCTAGGTGAAGGTTCCTTGCCTATGGCAAAGTGTTTGGGACTAGGTGACTTCTAAAGGTCCCTTCCAACACAAACCCTTCTATTATTCTCTGAAAGTGAAGCTGTGAACAACAGAGAAATTGGATAGGGTAGCTGCCTGAAACTGAGTACTTAACAATTTTATCTAGTCTTTAGCTTACAAGGATAATGACTGCAACTTTACCATGTTGCTGTGGTTGTAAATTTCTTCTAATCAGCTGGCTTGCATGAAAAAAACCTTGAGTGTAATTCCCGCTGCAGTGTGTATTTTCTGCTTTTGTTAGGAAATAACTGCTTAAAAAAAGGAGAAGCAAGCAAAGAGATCTTCGATAAAGAGACATTTATTTCTTACTGCCTACAGGCAGTCACTTGATAGATAGTACTTCAAGAAGTTTAAGCAAATTTGGGTCTAGCCTTAGACTGACCCTAGAAACTGAGATCTCTGACTTTTACCTTTGTTCAGTTACAGTGAACAAGTCACAGACTCCATCTGTACATGAGAGTGCAAGAACATAATAAATTTTTATGTTTCAAAATTATTGCATTGATTGCAAACATCAGTTTATAACATAATGAACTATGAAAGTAAAGATACTATTTTAAGTAAGTTGGCAGGAACCTTCTGTGAATTTTGCTGCCACCACTGTGAATTATACCACCACCACTTTGGAGAGTGTTCAGGGTGTGACTGCTTGCACAATTTTCAGTGCTGCAATTAAACTACTCCTCCTTTTACTTTTTTAGTTTGTTTCAAAAACTTTGATGAGGGTGTGAGCAAATGCTGTAGCTTGTCTCTTTGAAAGTTTGATTTTTCAATGACTTAAGAAAATTTCCTTGCAGTTGTTTGCATGTTGAGATTGATGGTGGTTTGTAACCTGTTGGTGGAAATGTGAGGAGTTTCCCACTGTGTTGATACCTATAGCAGAAGGATCAGCACGACCCTTAGGCATACTGCTGTGGCTTGTTAGAGCAGATTTTTCTGCCTTCCTGTGGCTTTTTTAAGATCCTCAATCCAATTCACAACAAAGGCTCAGAATCAGTCAGAAACTTCTGGGCCATGTAATGCAAGAGAATGGGCATAAGGCTTCTTAGCTCTTCTTTTTTAAGCAATTTTTGAAGATACTGCTAGAAAAATGAACAGTCAAATATCCAAGAATTTTAATTTATTCACTGCTTTTAGTGGGGATTTAAGCTGTAACACAGGATAGGTTATGTGGAGAATTCGTTCTTAAAATTTAGTTTGCCATTAGGTAAGAAGGCAGTAGGGAGGAAATGAATAGTATTAGGCCTACAACTGTTCTTTTGTGTTTTGGAACTCCAAAGCACATCTTTGTTATTATTTCCTTCAGATGGAAGGCTGAGACAGTTTTTGCCAAATGAATAAAATAAAACTGATGTTATCCTAAAGCATAATCAAATAAATTCAGTGTCATCTGACCAGCCTCATTGAACTGTTGAGGCAGACTGTCTTTTAAGTAAACTTAAATGAAAGTGTGATACAGCAAAATTACATACATCTCCCTGCCCCCAGATTAGGGGCAGTCAAGCTCACTTTTAGCTGGGGGCTGTGTGGAGGTCTGTGTGAGATCCAGGCCTGGAGCACAGCTCTCTGTGAACACGGCTACCAGAGGCAATCAGCAGGCACAGCAGTCTGGGCTTTTCCCTGGCAACTTAGGGAGACGGGGCCCATCTGGGAACTCTCTGAGAAACTGAGGGTGCCCGCTGCTGCATGTAAGGTGAGCCACAGGAATATGGGCCTCAGGAAGTCCTAGTGGCTCTGAGAAGCTTCAGCTGCTCTTGACCCAAGGGTCCTTAGCCTTCTTTGGAGCTGCTGCTCATTAGAGATGGTCAGACACAGCCAACAGATGCAGTAGTTTCTCTGGAATGGTGCAAAGAAGGGATCCTCGTATGAGTTCAGAATAACCTGAGTCTTCAGATGTGGTGGCAGTGTGCTACTGGGTGAATTCTCCAGGTTTTGGAGTACCTGTCCCTCAGAGCAGAGACTTGCCCTGACAGAGCTTCAGATTGGGAAGACAGCCCTGCAAGGGTCAGTTTGCTGGAAGTGCCCAGAGCTGCTCCCTATCCTGAGGTAGAGAGAGATGGCCTCCTTTTACATAGGGTTCGCTTCTGTGGAAATGCAGTCACCAGGTGGAGAAGCTAAGAGGAAGTCAGCAGGCTGTGCAGCTTCAGAGAGGGTGAGACATAAGTAGGATCTGTGAGTGGCTGAGACACCAAAGGATTGTGCTCCCATTCAGAGGGACCTTGACAGGCTGGAGCCATGAGTCAAGAGCAGCCTTGTGCTGTTCAGCAGAGGGAAATGCAAAGTCCTGCAGCTGGGAGGAACAACGTCATGCACCAAGAGATGATGGGGTGCAGTTGTTGGAATGCAGCCTTGCAGAAAAGGACCTGGGGCATCCTGGTGCACACAAAGGTGGACATAAGCCAGAAATAGGACTCTGCTGAAAAACAGACTAGTGGTATCCTGAGCTGTATTAGGAAGAGTGGTGCCAGCAGTTTGAGGGAGTTGTACTCAACATTGGTGAGGCCATGCCTGGAGTGCTTGGTCCTGTTCTGGGCTCTCTCATATATTCCTTCAGTGTAAGGCATTCCTTTCCTCTCCCAGGAAGCTGCAATCATGTCTCTCAGTGGGTTTTTTGCCTTGTTAGAAAAATAGGTCATAACCATGCAGCTGTAATATTTTTGCCTAGCCAATTGAGCACATATTAAGCTCAACTTCATTTTACAAATGTGTTTGCTGTCTCCACAAAAAATATAACAAAAGAGGAGACGATTGTAATGTACATTATTTCCAGCTAGTGAACAGTGCAAAATTTGTTTCTTTAAAGCTTTATTCTCGATTTTCTGAATTCTAGATAGGGGTATATTCTCTTAAATGTCTAGCTATTGCTATTATGGTCTTATTTACAGTGCTTAAGTGTACTTAGTGATACCTTAATTAAACTATACTGCTGGTTTTGCAGGAAGGTTACCGAAGACATCAATTTTGATTTTGTACAAATGCAAAAATAGTGCTCTCCAGTAATTATCTGGGGGAAGGGAGAAATAATCTGTTGACGTGGAAAATAGCTTTTTGTCATTAAGTACTTTAATTTCATCCGACTGCCCCATGTCTCATGGTAAATAATTTTGTTCCAGTGGAAGAACAGTTTGATCTTCCTCTGCATTAGGAGAGTGTTTTTCTTGTATCAGGTGAGGTCAGTATGGCTCTGTAGGAAAC